TCTTGGCAACCACAAGTTTGTATTCTATGTCTATGAGTTCTGTTTCTGTTTTGTATTTATTTATTAATTAATTTTTTTAGATTCCACATATGAATGATCTCATATGGTATTTTTCTTTCTCTTTCTGGCTTACTTCACTTAGAATGACATTCTCCAGGGACATCCATGTTGCTGCAAATGGTGTTATGTTATCAGTTTTTATGGCTGAATAGTATTCCATTGTATAAATATATCACAGCTTCTTTATCCAGTCAGCTGTTGATGGACATTTAGGCTGTTTCCATGTCTTGGCTACTGTAAATAGTGCTGCTATGAATATTGAGGTGCAGGTGTCTTTTTTAACTTGTTCTTAAATGATAGTTTAGATGGTCATAAAATTTGAGGCTGTTATTTATTTTCCCTTAGCACTTTGAAGCTACAATTGCATTATCTTCTGGGATTCATCATTGCTGTTTGTAAGTCGCTGTCAGTCTAAATGTTGGTGTTTTGTAGACAGTCTGTCTTTTCCCCCTGGTAACTTTAAATTTTTTTTGCTTAATTCATAGAGACAGAGACAGAAGTTGAGGGGAGGGAGGAACGGAGAGTTATTATTTAATGGGGACAGAATTTCTGTTTGGAATGATGGAAAAATTCTGGAAATATAGTGATGGTAGTTGTACACCACTGTGAGTATACTTAATGCCACTGAATTGTATTATTTGCTTAGCATTTGGTTGTGAAGGAGGGGGCCGAGATGACAGAGAAATTTTGCCATAGCCCGCAGCTAAACACCTTTAGGGACATCTGGGGGAATCATTATAGCAAGGGCAGGAGTTGTTCTGAGGTTTTTATTAGTTTATTATGAGGCAGCAATCAGGAGACTACCTCAAAATACAGTTATGACCCAATTTGGTTTTGGCTTTAATGGGATAATTCACTCTCCCTAATCTATTCTTGAACATTTAAGCTGTAGCTCAGCCTTTGTTCTCTAAGGGACTTGGGCTAAGATTCTTCCCATTAGAAGGAAAATTCAATACATGATGACGTTGAGGGTGTTAGGCCCTAGAGATTTCTTAGGACAAAGACATTAAAGTAGTTCATATGTGAGGCCAGACATAGGAATTAAAGAAGGGAAGAATACTCAAACTTTACCTAGTTGTAGTTTTGCTTTTATCCTATCATACCAGGCATTGGCTTTGTTAGCAATATCTTCCAAAGATTCATCAATAAAAATATTAATAGATGCTAATGGAAAGTAGTGTGAAATGTGTATCCATATTTGGGCTGACATTATTGAATCTGGGTCAGAACCATATTTCTGGAATCCTAGTTTATGGACTGGAACTTTTCTTGAGTACTTGATAGAAAGGATCTTAAAAATCTTCTTATCCAAGTTGCTGTAATTCCACATGAGGAAACAAATTATCTATAAAGAGAGAGATGAAATAACTGGGTTAATTGGTGGCTGAAAAGAAACCCTTACTGTTTAGGGTTGAATTCCTTCTGCACTTAGCCTATAGTTGAGTTCTCTAAGGCTGCATTATGAATCTAGCCTGTCTTTTATAATAAGCTCTCTAACTTCCAAAGATGGCCTCACATGACCAAATAAAGGTATTCTTCTGGCACGTACTTCTAATTAATTGTATCACATACTCTATATTATGTTTTAACTGTAAAGATACAACGTAAAGATTATTTTTATATTGTGGACTTTAAATAGTAAAGATGAATATTTACAGATTTTACCCTTAAGAAGCTTACTTGTCTCTTAAAGGAGGGGATAGACATTTATCAAAACACTAGGATACAGGTTAGAATGTGAGAAGAACCAGGAGAGGTATCACACCTAACCCTTGTGTTTTATCCTTAATGCAGGGGATGGATAAGTTTTATCTTTAAATACCTGGAATGAGTAGGTTTTACCCGATATAACCTGCATATTATATGCAAATTCACAAAATATTTTTCTTTATATGTTAGTGTGTTAAGGAATGTAAGTGCAAGAGGTGTTCCTGGAATTCCGTGGCTTATTAATGCACAGAAGCTTTTTGAATGGGCAAACGAAGTCAGAATTGACCCCAACCATCCAGAATATTCTGATTTAGTGGAATTTATTATGGTAAGTTATAGCAAATATTTGTACTGTAAATACATTCTGTTTCTCAAACTCTACCCTCTTATATGCCTCCACAGTTTGTAGTATATTTTTCTAGGTACTAGGAGACATTAAAGGTAAATCTGAGGACAAATACAGTTTTCAACCAGTTTACAGCATTGTAAAGGCAGCTAGAAAATTCAGCAACTGAAATCATTACTACCTTAGGCCTGATGACTAGTACTCTGCCACTGTTTAACAGCCCTCAGAACATCCTGCAGAATAACCAGGCTAACATCCATTGTCCATGTACTGAGTGCCAGCCATGTTATTAAATCCTGAGGATTATAAAGATGATTTATAGACACACTCAAAGACTTAACTATTTGTTCACTTCTCCTCCTCTTCCTTACAGCCAACAGAACTGCTCTGTGTGCTCCAAACATACCTTATTCATATCATTCCCTCTGCTTCAGAGGGCACCCAAGGCAGCTGTCTCACCCACCCTGCAAGTCTGATAAATGCTTTTTCTCCCCCTAGCCCTCATGTTAACTTTTTTTTTCTTCTTATAAACTCTTGTGGCTCTAACATCATTCTGCCTTTTACTCTAGTTATTCATTCATGTGTTTTATCTTTCCTTGTGGAACTACAGCTAATGAATCTTTGTCTCTCTTATGGCAACTAGCAGGTTTCCTTGCGTGTACTCACTCACATTTGCATTTATTGAATAAAGCAATGCATAAGTAGATTATTGTCTCTCCAGTTCAGAACTCCCAACTGATGTGCTGAATTGATTGTATGTGTATAGAAATACTGACCCTCTCTCGACTTTTAGGGCAACGAGAAACAAAAAGTGTCATCTTTTAACCCAGTATGCAATACAGATATTTTCATTTTCTACATAAATCACGACCAGGAAAAGGTTAAGAAGCTACAAAGGCTGGATTCTTTTTTTTTTTTTTCAGATTCTATCTCTGTACAAATTCAGTTGCTCCATTTCCTATTTATATTGCAACTCTCATAGCTCACTTTTGAGGGGGGAGACTATTTTGAAATAATTCTGAATTTTAAAAAATTAATATTTTAAGTAAGGATTTTACATTATTTATGTTTTACAGTACATAAAACATAAAGGACAGGATATGCCGAAGTATTTTCGTCTTGAACAGTTGCAAGATGAATTTAACTTTGTTTCTGAAGAGGAAATGAAAAAGAGCAAACGTTTCCAGCTATTGCAACTGAGAAATGCAGGTCAGGTAGATGTTTCCCTTCTGCAGCAGATGCCCCTCTATGACAGAGAGATTCCGGATGTAGTCTTCCAGGTAACTAGGTTTCTATTTGCATATAGCTTATTCTGTGATAAGTTAATGTTTTGCTGCTCTAAATCTATGTTAATTCCTTTCTTTTTATCAACTGATAACCTGTAGACAAAAAATTTCCCCTTGTCTTTAGACATTAGAAATGTACAGATCTCCAGATTTCTTTGCCACTTAGTTGTTATTCAAACAGCCTATTTCGCAGCCAGAATACTTTAAGTATATTCTAAATTTTTGTAAATATTGTGGTTTTTTAAAAATTATAAAATGCATCAACAATTTAAAAGCAATTTGGGGGAATAAGGGAGAGAAAACGCTACCACGTTAAACTTACACTTGATTGTAAAGCACATCTCAATTTCAGGAACTTTAAAATGTGGAAACAAAAAAGAGAAAGGAAAATTAGCCTTATGCTGTGTGGTGGTGGCGTGCTGGAGCCTGTTGGCACCAGCTGGTGACGGCCTATTGTGCATGTCTCTTTCCAGCTCCACCCTCAGTGAGTTCACATTGGTTGCTTTAAATGTGTTGCTGGGGGGCTATTTACACCATAAATCAGCAAATGCTACAAATTTGGGCTTCCCCTCCCACTCCCAGAGAACTGGCTGTTGAATACTTACCAGCACACTGCTAGTCTTAAAAGAGCGGAATTATAAGCACTAATTCCTAAAGAAATAACCAGCTGTACTAATCCTAGCGCTTGAGCTTGCTAAGACATGGTTCAAGAAGAAAGAAACTAGTGTTCCATCTCTGAAGAAAATGCCTGCGCAGTAGAATTACCACTGTAGGGTGATGTCAGCCAACTTAGATAAGGATACCAGATTCAGATGAAGGGTACTGAGATTTATACATCTTACGAGTCAGAAAGAGTGACTGCCTTATACTAAAATACGTTATGATAGATTTATTAATTTAACTCTGGTGAATTATTGTCAATTGATAAGAAAAAATGGATAAACTCTCTGATATTTGTTTTCATTTTTATTCTGGACTGAAGGGGAATTGCTATAAGCCACTTAATATTAAAAATAGTAGAAGTTATTTTTTAAAATAGTGTGTGTTTGTTCTTGTTGCTGTCACTCAGCCGTCCTTTAGCTTTTTATACCCTAATTTAGAGGAGACACGAATAAAACTATACAGGATCATTACATTTAAAACTCAAACAGTAGTGGAAAGACACTCATGGTCTGAACCAAAGGATCATCTTAGAATCTCTTCTGGTGTTGCTCAGAGGTGAAAGAGGAAATGTAAGTCAATGATTCTTCAATGACGATGCCATGGCACCACCAGTTAGCACATATGACTATTATAGTCATATACAGATAGGATTTGCAGACAGCTTATTATTTTTGCAAACATGGGTGACTAGAAATATATGTATTCACAAACAGACCAGTTGGCATTTGGCTTTGGAAAGCATTGCTCAACTTTTAATTATGATTCATCTCCTGTTTTGAGACCGTAGGAATTTCTGTTAGTAAACTGCAGGGGGAAGGCCTTGGCTCAGAATGGCTGAAAAGTTACTCGGTTTCCTCTTGCTGCTTCTCTCGATGATTGAATCCAGTTCTACGGTTTCATAAACTGCTTTGGGCAATGCACAATGCTCAGCATAATTGGGGATATAACATCATAAAAAAAGAACAATTTCTGCTTTTGAAATGAGGGGCTTTGCTAACTTCCCTTATCTTATACAGACTATTTATTTGGAGAACAGGAAAGAAAGGAACCCAGTTCGTTTTCTGAGGCTTGCTATGACCTTCATACCAAAATTGGGCAATGAAAGCAAGAAATGACCATTTTAGGTCAATTTCACTTATGAGCCTAGATGTAAAATTGCTAATAAAATGTTAACAAACTGAAAAGCAATATATTATGTGTAAATATATAATTACACACCATAACCTAATAGGGCTTATTTCCAGATAACAGAGCTAATTTAATTAAGGAATCTATTAAATAATTGACCACATTAACAGCATTAAGGAAGGAAAAAAAGATACTCCCCTTAATAAATGCCCAAAAGGCATTTAATAATTTGCTTATTCATAATAAAAGCTCTTAGCATCCTAGAATCAGTAGAGAACTTCTTTAAACTGATTAAGAATGTTTCAACATTTTGGTTTTTCTGCTGATACAAAGTGCTTTGAAAAGAAGTGTTTCCAGTAAGTTGTAGAATTGAAGGAGTTGGGGGAGAAATAAGGAGGGACCATCTACACCCACTGGGTGATTAGACTGAGTTTCAGATTTAATTAGCCAAGGATGCAGAAACATAACAGAAGCAGGGCAGAACACAGGGCAGGACAGCTGCAAGAAATTTTGATGCTGGTTTTTCCTGGGCTCTGTGATGGGGAAAGTAAGCTTCTTGTGACATGTCCACATACAGTAGGGTGTTGCCAGAGCCAACAAAACAGGACAAAATAGAACAAAACAATCTATACAAAATAAGCAAGGTTTATTACTACTACCCTAGAAGAATTAATATGTACAAGGTAAAGGCACTTCCATTTAAGGGAATGTTTACAAACATTGGAATCTTCTGGTTCTTGAACCTAAGTCAAGATCATTAAATAGAGGCCATAAAATAGAGCCAGTGCCCAAGTGTCTCTGAGCAAATTCTCTGTCTCCAGCTTTCCAGCATTCTGTAAAACCTGTTCCTTATAATCTGTTCCTTAACTGTGATTCAGTGCATTATTATCTGTGTGGCTCTGAAACTGTTTGGTATAATGCTCACCATCAGAAATCAATTTCCTCATAGGCTCCTACACAAACATTAAACTTAGTGGCTAAACATCAGTTTTCCCATTAATCTCAGCAACATAAGGATGTCCACTATCACCTCTACCAGTAAGAGCCAATGCATTAAACCAGAAAGGAGAAAGGAAAGAAGAAAATTAGAATTGGAAAAGAAGAGACAAACTATCCTTGTTTGCAGAAAATACATTTGTCTACATGGAAAACAGAATCTACTGTGACAGCAAACTGTCACAACTAATGAAGTTGTTGAATAAAATATCCAAGCATGAATTTAAGCATGAATAAAATATCCAAGCTATTTAAGCATGAATAGCTGCTTCTTTTATTTGAAAAGGAGAACTGTACCCCTACAATGGAAAAATCTAGTTGTCACCATCTTGACTCAGTGATCCAACTTAATCTTATTAAGTGTGTAGGCAGAATAATGGCTCCCTAAAGATGTCCACTCCCTAACGCCCAGAATTTGTGAATACGTTATGCTACATTGCTTAAAACTGGGGGATTATCCTGGCGTTAAGTGGCACCGCAAGGGAACAATCAGACAGATCTGAAATGTGAGACAACTGGCTACCAAGTACAACTGTTTTTCTCTGTACATTTTGATCTTTTTAAAGAGTCATTATCTTTTAAAAAGGAGGCAGAGTATTCTAGATTAAAAGAAGCTGAAGACACTTAATCAAAGGCAGCATATGATCCTTAATTAGATCCTGGTGTTGGGGGGCAGGGAGCAACCATTGGTGAAATTTGGTTATTAGAATACTATATAATATTGATAGTTAAATATTAGATATATTGGGAAATTGTAAATTTTGTTGTCTGTGATTCTGGCATTGTGGTTGTGTAGAAGCATGTCCTTAGTTTTTAGAGATTATGCTGAAGTATTTATTTAGGAAAGAAGTGTCATGGTGTCTGACTATATGCCATGCACTTTGCAGATATTATTTCAGTTAAATCTCACAACAATCCTGTGACATAGGTGTTGTTATTAGTAATAGTAATATTATTATTACAAAAGAGGAAACTGAGGTCTGCAGTAGTTAATCAGCTTTTTGCCAATCCACCCCAGAAAAATTAATTTCATTTAGTAAACGGCAGGGCCAACCTGAATCTGATTACGGCCTCCAGAGCCCACTCTCTGGGCCGTTATATTGTACTACTTCCCATTTCTTTTGTTTCCAGCAATTGCCAGGTAAATGAACGCATGAAGGATAGTTCTCAGTTGTCTTCACATTTTCTTATAGTTTTCTCAACTGCAATTTTTTTTCTCAATCATTACTGTTTTAAAAGATGAATAGACCTCCTTCTAGGGGCAAACAAAATATAGTCCTAACCGTTCTTAGCTAATTCTCAGTGGGAGAACCTAAAAGAAATTCTCTTCTTTCTTCCAGTATCTCCTACACATGAACTGGTAAGAGTAGTTAATATTTTATTGCAGCATATATATCATATCTAAATTCTGTTACATTCAAGAAGTGAAACTAATTTAATTCTCTGTTTATAGGAATATGAAAGCCAGGTGGAGAAGGATATGTCCATTTCAGATGTGAATTCTATTATCGCACAAAGGATTAATTCTGTCAATTTTCTGAAAAAGGTAACAACAACAAAATAGTACTATCAATATGTTTGCATTTACTTTTGTGAAAACTGGTCTGCTGGATGCCCAGTACTGTACTCTTCCCAGAGAGTCAGCTGTTAAGATACATTGTTGATGCAACAGTTACTTCAATTGATGGCAAACCCATGGTTAAATTATATCCCAACTTTTTCATCTAAATGTGGACATTAAAGACTTCCCATCGCTTTTTGACCCTAAAATTCACTTTGAGAAATAATGCCAGCTTTTGCCTGAATCCCTAATTTTTTAAATAATTCATAAATGACTCCTTAGACTACAGCAGTTCAGGGGATGAAGGGATGGAGGAGCTACTAGGAGACAGAAACTATTAGAGGAAGACATATGAAGACAAATGAAAAGTCAAATATTTACCACACATCCTAACAAAGCCTAAAACACGTTTGAGGTGGAATCCAGTTTCACTCCTGATTTCCTTCCACTGACCCCTCATCACTCTGCTCCAAGCTTCTGGAGTGCAGGAACTATAAGTCTGCAATGCCCAGCACGGTACCCTTCACTCAGAAAATGCTGAGAAATGTTTGAGCAATTAATGAAATGATGGATAAAACTGCAAGGCTACGGAGGTTTCTAAGGCTTATTCAGGAGTATAATCTACATCCTTTGCTGTAGCGCACCAGAGCAGTCAGTCTTTTGGGGTAACTTGAAAAGAAGCACAGAGCTATGGAAAGATCTAAGAGAAACACACCAGATCCCTCGTGGGGACAGGTGGGAAGCAACCTTGAGCAACTAGGCAAGTGTGTGAAGACCTGTTCCGGCCACCCTCTGCATTTTGGGCAAGTAACCTATTCAGTGAGTCCCACTTCGTTCTTTTGTAAAAACAGACAATAAAAATGACTACCTTGCTTTACTTCTGAGGTAAGGGGTAAATGAGGTAAAACCTCAAGCGCTGTGCTGGTTTGTACTGTGTTCCTGTGAGAGGGTGGTGCAATGCAGACCACTGTAGCTATGGCAGGCCTGAAACAGCACCTCACTTTTGTCACTGGCAGGTGTTTTTCCCACTCACCCTTGCTCCTCCTACACCTTCTTTATTGCTCCATATTTTTAAAAAAAGTTGGCATGTGATTTAATAATGAGCTCTAACTGATTTCAGACAAAATAGACTTTAAAACAAAGGCCATAAAGAAGGACATTTTATAATGATTAAAGAAGTGATACAAGATGAAGATATTACACTCGTTAATATATATGCACCCAATATAGGAGCACCTAAGTACATACAAGAATTACTAACAGAGATAAAGGGGGATATTGATGGGAATACAATCATAGTTGGAGATTTTAACACTGCATTAACATCACTAGACAGATCTTCCAGACAGAAAATAAACAAGGCAACAGAGAAATTAAATACTACAACAGAAAACTAGATTTGGTGGATATTTTCAGAGCTTTACACCCCCCAAAAATAGAATATACATTCTTTTCAAGTGCACATGGAACATTTTCCAGGATCGATCATGTACTTAGAAACAAAAGAAACCTCAACAAATTTAAGAAGATAGAAATTATCTCAAGCATCTTTACTGACCACAATGCCATGAAACTGGAAATCAACAACAGGGAAACAAAGGAGAAAAAAAGAAAAGCATGGAGATTAAACAATATGTTACT